ATCGGTATCCTTGCAAAAAAAGTCCATAATTATTAGGTCAAATTTGTTACTGGGACATACTGCAACGAACGAAAGTCTTGGATTGATGACTGTCAAAAATTTACTGAGAAACATATCCAAAACTTACTGTCGTAGCAAAGCAGCAGCTGCATACCATTGCTGTTCGGAAGAACAACAATACAGTGAGGTATCATATTCTGTTGTGGCTAAAATAAATGATTACGTGATTAAATGAAAAGGGAACGCTAATGATGCGGTAAACAAATAAAAGTGACGGAAATCACGTACATTAGGAGGAGTGTAGATATCGTATATAGCTGCTGAATCAAGGTCAATGGCATGAAATCCCTCATGTGAACCATATAGCACTTTAAGACGAGCATTATCTTCCACGGTCAGATCAACAATCAGTGGCAAATGAGATAATGATCCGAAAGACTAAAGTAAATACAATTTGGATGCAATCACATAATTGGAAAGAATAGTTGAATGAAAGTCAAAGGCAGCAGAAAAAAAGCGATATTTACCTTAAAACTCATGAACTTGTGATAAGGCTTGGGTGCCCAAGCATATATTTCAATACTGTTCTCCAAACCAACAACTAAAAATTTAATACGTTCATAGCGAACAATTTTGAAATGGATGGCGCCTTGTAGGTCGCCGACGTTCACCCATCCATTACGCTTCTCTGCCGGCACTCCAGAAGCAGAGCCCTGAACATTCTCAGCTTTTCGCAGTGATGTTCTGTTAGACTCGTAAATACCTCTGTTCTCAAGATCTTTTGTTTCAGCCAGCTCAGGTAATAGACCCTTATTCTGCGCTTCCTTCCAGAAATTGTGATGAGTATATTTTGTCCCTCCAAAACAGTCATTTGCTCAAAGCGACGTCGATTTATCAGTTGGTACACTTAAGGAGTAAGTTGAGAGAAGACAAGATAACGATGACTTAGTCAAAAAAAATCAAAAAAATCGAAGCTTGGCAGGCTGCATAAATGCTTCACCTACCCTTGCCCTGTCCACTACGATCCAGCAACATAAGACCACTGTCAGTTCCTATTAAGAGATTTACACCCCATAATGCAGCACATAAAATTTCGCCACTAAATTTCTTTTTGTACTTTCGTATTTCCGGCGCATCAGACTCCAAATGCGCTCCATTTTGGGAGCTAGGATTGACGTTGACCTATAAATAATGGTCTTAACAGAAACAGAACACGATTTTGAAAGACTCGAACACAACAACTTCAAATGATCATTCTCTCTCAGATGCATCTGTTTAGACTCATAGCACTTGAATACAATAGCATTAAGGTAAAGCAATTAGAAGAAAGAATGTTCCCACGCATAGATGTAAACAAAGTTCCGAACAAAAAAAGTGTAAGTACCTGTACGTGACTGGCGTCTTGCGCTCTGCCAGGACGATTTACAGTGCCAGCCCCTAGTACTGCTCCTGTGCCAAAGAATCCAACAAATGACTTTTCCCTATCTCTCGCTGTAAGGGGCTGCTGGTGCAATGAAACTTTCGATCCATTAGTGCAAGCATTCACAATTCTTTCCGACTAGAATACAAGATTTGATTAACTGAATTAAAAGCACGATAATAATATCACCTATGTATTTCCTCAAAATGACTAGTATAAAAAATAAGCGACTAAATCGTTCTTTTTAAGTATTACGCTTTGAGTCCCAAAAACATGAATTTTACATGATCAATACTCCAAAATTCAAAATGACATACTTCTTCACCTGTTATAATAAGGAAATGGAAAGCATCAAAGCAACACAACAGTTTACGTTTAAGAAACGCTGCAAGACTGCGGAGGACAAGAGTTATTGGGTTGTAGCGTCAATAGTCTTATACGATAGTTAGAAGGTTCAGTAGTCCGCAAGGGCAGATCCTAATGGCGGTAAACATCCTCTACCCCTATAACCTACCGAATTTCTTAATATCCTCCACATAAGTAAAT